ACACAAGACAATTAATTAGAACATTATCTTGAATGTTAAAACGAAAACACGAGACAATTAATTAGAACATTATCTTAATATGTTAAAACGAAAACACAAGACAATTAATTAGAACATTATCTTGAATGTTAAAACGAAAACACAAGACAATTAATTAGAACATTATCTTGATGATGACAAAACCTTGTCGAAACGTTGTACATTTGCTGTCATGTTAAACTTGTATTAAAGTTTTTCTTCATTACCCATTTAAGCCGTCTCCAGCCATTATTATCTTGATATGTTAAAACGAAAACACGAGACAATTAATTAGAACATTATCTTGATATGTTAATACGAAAACACAAGACAATTAATTAGAACGTTATCTTGATATGTTAAAACGAAAACACAAGAGAATTAATTAGAATACCGATGACATATATCATAACTTTATTTTATGGATTATTTGGTGTTTGTTGTGAACCTGATGTGAGTGTGTGTGTTAATTATTATTCCGTGTGAAACTGTAGAAAAGAACGCTTTTCGGGTTTGAATACAGATAACGTGTTGATGTTTAAAGCACAAGTGTGTAATATATATATACATATATATCTGTATATATTGTGACTTTTAATGTTTTCTGAGATGTAACAAACAACTATTTAAGCTTCACAATAAAGCACTGACTTATTTATAAGTCGTTATCAGCCACCACTCTGTTTATCTTGTGTTTTGGTTTTAACATATCAAAATAATGTTCTAATTAATTCTCTTGTGTTTTCGTTTTAACATATCAAGATAATGCGGGAAAAAAAATGTGAGTGACAATAAACAATAATAAATATGTACACTTTTCTATAACTTTCCAATGGTGTTTTGATACAATTACCAGTGTTGAGATTATACAGTGAAATTCTGCGTGCCAGAGACAGTAAAATAATACGTATTGTTACCAAAGTAGGAAAATACAGACACATATAAATAATCCAGTCTGAACAAGTTTTTCATTGACTGCTATGGTTAATATTATCCCTTTAGTGAATCATGAGAATATTAATATCCCCTCAAATACATTTTACTAAAGGAACTTTTCTATGATACTTCTAGCATAATTTCAGTTATTGAATTCAGTTGATCAACGTTTGTTATACAAATCTTCTTAGTTCAGTAAAATAAACTAGTTGTACATTTCACACATGCTTATTTGATACATCTATATAATATAATCAGTTACACAATTCACATACGTTTTGTTATAATTCAACTAATACAATCAGTTGTACATTTCACACATGCTTATATGATACATCTATATAATATAATCAGTTACACAATTCACATATGTTTTGTTATAATTCAACTAATACAATCAGTTGTACATTTCACACATGCTTATATGATACATCTGTATAATATAATCAGTCACATAATATTCACGTATTAAGAGCCCCCGAACCAATTGTTTACGTAGCGCCTGCTTCATGCCGATCAATTTCTTTTTTTTTCTGCACGAAGGACGAGCCAGTTCGTTAATGTATTTATTTTATATGAGTTTATCACGAACCACGTGGCATTTTTCATTCATAGACTTAAGTTCTACTGCAGTGAATAACTGATGTCGTATATCAGCTTGATTAAAACCTTCCATTTTTACATGTTGTGGGCGAAAGTGTACAGATTCACAGTGATTATACCATTAGTCAGGCGCCACCAGATTCTGAACCTGACTGCTGGTTTGTTCATGGGGTGGTAGTAAAATATAAAGTAATTCACTCCAAGTAATACACTGTACAAACATAGAACGATGCTGTCTACCTCTCACGTTTATTCATAAACTTCTCGTCTAGTATATCATTACTTCCTTTTGAACCCCACCCACACATTCATTGAATGTTATCTCATCAAATAGCCAACATCTGTTAGTTTTCCACAAAGTATGGAACGGATGTTTTTTATATAAAGTAGAAGGAAAAAAAAAACATCGTTTATTAATCTTGCCATGTTTATATTAAAACGTTTGATACTTAAATCCGTGAAAATATATAGCAAACTACGTTTATTTCCAATCTGAGTGCTTTTTCATTTTACATTTACATTTCTGATCTTATTTTCTTGTCTCGTAAAGTTGTGTAAAGTTATAAACAGAGTATAGGTGTGCAATAGATACATGGGTCTAATTACACAGAAGAGCTCAAGTCATCTCAAGTCTAAATAGAGAGGCAATGAGAGACGTAAAGAAAACGATAATGGCCATCTATTTCTGCAGAGGATAGTCGACGGTGAGGAGATGATTTTTCGTTGTAATGGAAATACTCTTAGTATTCACCACCTGAGGGATGTGGAGGGCGTTTTTGTGCCCTACCTATGCTGTAATTATCCCTTGGGCCATCACAATAGTGCTAATTAAGTCACCAACTTCACCACCGATGTCGGGAAAGAACGTCGGACCACACAGACAGCAGAACAGGGAATCTGCGGCGCCTTGTCCGCGGTACTGACGTACGTACCCTCGGGCTTGACGAGGATTCAATTGGGCAGATGATCACGCTCTTTTAAACTGCTAAACAAGGTTGAAACAGGACGCGAACTAGATTAACACTTGCGCAGACCTGAAAAATGTTATAGCTTGTACACAATGTACGGCCATAGAAATTTAAAATAAATTTTATTATCTTTGCAATGTACAGATTAACCGTTGACAGCAAGTTCCGAGAAGCTACTTGAAGAACTGCTTGAGAAAACGTTTAGACAGTTCTACAGTTCCCCATGACATTTAAAATACGAACTCTTCTGTGACGAAGAATAAATAAACTATCAGTGTTAGTACACGAGGTTTTTCAAGGTACACTTTACATAAGAGCGGAAACACCAAAGATTCCGCTGTGACTGGTGGTATCTTATATCGTTAACCCAGAACCGGTGGTTGTTTGTTTCTGATCCTGACACCATCTACCACGAAACTTGCTCATGTCAGTGACTGTTTGAGAAGCGCAGAGTCCATATTTCTGTGGACTAAAACACAATTTTTTCACAGAAAGACATTCAGTAACCAAATTTGCATCACTTAGTGAATTTTTTTTTAATCTGAATTTCTAAAAATGCACTATATTTTATCTCGTAGTACTTACTTGAAAACATATCTTTTCATAAAAATTTTGTCCTACATTTTTATTGACGGTTCAGTTTTGTTTTGTTTTTGTTATACAAATCTTGTACATTTTCGATTATTGAAGTATACGTCCTACATACGTCTACGTCTTACTTTCGCTTCATAAGTCGGTTTTAATCTCGTGCCTTTGAAGTCATCAGAGGAAGGTTCTTTTTCTTCTCTTTTTTCACGAAAAATCTCATTATATCTTATTTCTTATCAAACAAAGCGGGTATTTTGCGTAACCTGCGGGCGTGACTCAGATAAATCGTACATTATCCAATCTACAACGCTAAGTATCAAATATTTTGTTAAAAATATTTCGGCAGAAATACTTTAGAATACAAAGGTTTATTTTATATATACTCTGATATAATAGAAATATAATATCTCTCCTATAAGTAGTTTATAATTAAGTACTTACTACATTGGTAAAGTTCTTAAAGAGGTCCATATAGAACTCACCTTTGGCAGGACTTGGCCTCATAGTGTGTGAGCTGACAAGGAATTCCAAATCAAAAGAAAGAAAAAAATGGAACACTGTGCTGGGTAAAAAAACAAGGAAAGATAATTCAGCTGGAACTCCAAAATGTATTATTATTGAATTTGAATCGCAACACGTTACTTGATTCCAAAAAAATAAAAAAAAGGAAACATACTTCCGTTGGAACTCCAAAAGAGATTAGTACTGAGTTTGTACTTGTTGTACTTGGTTCCAAAATAAGGAACGAGACTTCATTTTGGGATTCAAATGGATTAGTACTGAGTTTGTACTTGTTGTACTTGGTTCCAAAATAAGGAACGAGACTTCATTTTGGGACTCAAATGGATTAGTACTGAGTTTGTACTTGTTGTACTTGGTTCCAAAATAAGGAACGAGACTTCATTTTGGGATTCAAATGGATTAGTACTGTGTTTGAGTCGGAACTTTGTAGTGACTTCCAAAAACACAACACAACAGTATTTTACTTGAACGCTAGTGAGCACAGCAGAGTTTCACCTCTGAAGTAACACACATGAACAGGTTAAGCTTTGTTTCATAATTTCAAAGGATGAGTTTGGGAGTTATTTCCGTACTCTTAATTGTTATTGCCCTACGTTTCTGACTTACAAGGAATAAACCCCAGTAGTTTTAACTTTTTGTTTTTTACAAGGTGACGTTCTATATGTATTATAATTAAAATGTACTAACACGGAAAAATGAAAACATTTTTGATGTAGATTTTATCCAGAAAACGTGCAAATCCCTACTGGAAGATAGCTTCGAAAATGAAAACACCAAACTAGCTTTAAATTCTGCAATTCTCAAATGCAAATCTTTTAAAGTTTAAAGGCGAACCCAAACACACAAATAAAACTAAGATTACGATGAAAGCAATAAATTCTGTTATTGGAAGGCTCCTTGAAATATTTTGATAAATTGTTTGTTTGTTAGTTTGTAATTAAGCACAAAGCTACACAATGGGTTATCTGTGCTCTGCCCACCACGGGTATCGAAACCCAGATTCTAGTGTTGTAAGTCCGCAGACATACCGCTGTGCCACTGGGGGGCATTTTGATAAATGCTTTAGATATTGTTTAAATAGTACCGTCACATAATAGTTTCGTTTTATTGTCTTGTTATTTGATCATATAAAATATCTTTAGGATCTGATAGGATTTTTCTAGAACGCGATTAATAAGTTTTCATCAACTATACGGATAACTATAGCTTTTTCTAAAAAGACATCAACCTTAAAAGTGATTTAGTGTATATTTTGTTTCTTTCTTTGGCCAACAGGCGTTGCGCGCTAATTTGATGACCCAGTGTAAATGTCATGGTGTATCCGGTTCTTGCAACATTAAGACATGCTGGAAAGGTTTGCCAAGGATTCAGACTATTGCGGATTATTTAAAACAAAAGTACTATGTGGCTATAGAGGTTATAGATCATAGGGTGAGGAGGAATCCAGAGCTACTTCCAGTCAATAGTCAGCTCGGAATGTATCAAAATGATGACCTCATTTATACAACAAAGTCTCCTGACTACTGCATGCCGAATCCAAAAGTCGGTTCTCTTGGTACATTGGGCAGGTAAGAAGAGCCGCAGTTCGTAGATTGGAAATGGCATTATTTAATTTATCTTTTGTAATTTATAGTTAAGTTCATGTCACAGAGTTATTGTTTGAAGTGTGTATGTGTGTGCGTGTAACAAAAATTCCAATTCCTAACTGTCGAAACATGTCTTTTCATTCAATTAAGTGTGCAATGTGACGTATTTGCTTTTTTTATATATATGTATCCTTTTTTTTTCCCCGATAGCAAATAAATAAGATATTTATAAATAAAAAAATATGAAATTATGTATTTAAAACCCTCACTTGATTAGGGTTACTCGTTCATATTTACTTCAATAATTCTATTGATATGGTTAAATGTTTTATATATTATTTAGAATCCGTAATTAATGGTATTGTTTCATCTTACTGTCACCAGGAGGTGTAACGCCACTTCCGATGGGACTGACAGCTGTGACTCCATGTGCTGTGGCCGAGGTTATAGAAGATATACAGTGGAAAAAGTAGAACGGTGTAATTGTAAATATTATTGGTGCTGTTACGTCAAATGTGACGAATGCCGGACTCAGGTAGACGTTTATGAATGCAACTGAAACTATTAGTGTTATCGATACCAGCAACAGTCGGGTATTCCAAAGTTATGTGTAACACATTTGCATGCACCATACATGTAGCTATCGTATTTAATCTAATAATGAATTACAGTGGTAATCTCCAGTAAACACCAAAAACACCTACAAGCTTATAACTGGTGTACAGAATCGATCTATTAGTTCATGGTTTTCTTCTTCTTCTGGTTATTTTAGTCCTGCACTCTCGTCACAAAAGAAAGTGATGGCCAACTTCAACCATGCAAACTGTTATCAACTGGTGCCTGTGGAAACAATCAACTTTTTGTTGTTCTTTTTTGAGCTAGCGACAGAAACTGACTTTGCGATATATACAGCGTTTCGATCAGCTAGACAGTTAAATAGTAGATCTATTGTTTCCAACCACAAGACAGTAAACTACACACACTTCCAGCAGGGCTACATTGTCTCCGGTGACAAGAGAACCAACCACGTAGTTCCAGTTAAAGTGATTTTATTTTCTAGATAATTGACCAAGCGTTAGGACTGAAAATAAATTTGGCCACGTGCTTTCATTTCCATAACGTCTACCATCACATACTCCTACTTAAGGAGTTGTTTTATATGGTGGAAGGTAGAGCATGGATTGCCTCTATTTTATTTAAAACCAACTTAACTACCTGTTGTAGAAAGGTTACCTACTTGCTACTATAAATCACGAACACGTTAATTGTCGGTTCATTATGGCCAACTAGAAAGTCGTTCGTAGTGTCCTAATACACCGTTTCTTGAAAGAGTTTCAACCAAAGATTGATGACCAAATCAAATATTTCCTTTTGATGTTTTGGTACAATTATCATTTTTTTTATAAGACTAAGTATTCTGTTCTCTAGCACTTCTTTTTTGTTTGTTTGTTTGACAGTTCAGGACTTTCCCCGCATGAATATTTATAGAATAAGAATCTTCCAATGGTTGCTATAATATCTGCCACCCTAATTCGATAAACAACGATAACTTTATATGAAATAAGACACCTGTGATGACTCACAAACCATATCGAGTAGCTATAGATACTTTTGATTAAGATGAGTATATATATATATATTTCCCTCGGGATTATTATTTGCAAAACCAAAAACATTTTGTATTTTATTTATTTATTTAAAACTTCACGAAAATCTATACTAAATGTACAAATAAGAATAAATATAAAATGGTAATTTATGATTTAGGAGAGCAATTAAATCGTAATTTTATATACACATTTATTATTAATATTATTTACTGGTATTCCGACGCCTTTCCACAAATATGTTTCTGAAGATCTAGAGATTATTCATTTCAGATGGCGCAAAAAACCCATTAGATATATTAAAACAGATGTGAATGGAAAGACTGAGAAACGAAACAAGAAAATGTTTCGTGATAGTTGAAGACTTACGTAAAGTTTTGGAAAGTAACGGCTAATACTATACTCTGTAAGTTGCCTTGTATGTTAATGCATATTTAGAAGTTGGTAATGATACATCTTAGTGGCTGATATTACTGGACTAGTACACACCAATAAATGTATGTTCAAAGATAGAGGAAAAGTATTAATGTATCAGTAACTAATATCTTCATAATGTTTTTTATATTAGATGACTATTTGGGATACTTGACGTTTGGCCTGACTAAGAGCATTAGTACGAAATATCACCTAACAGTAAAAAAAGAGAATTTACTGACAGTGTTTCGCCTTGTTTTGTGTGTCTATTGGTATTGTCGAAGAGATTTCATTCAACTCTTAACCCTAATAAATTCATAAGCCAGTGTATTATTGTATTCACCATCTGTGAGCATAAATCGTGTTTTTCTATTGTTATTAAATACATGCCCCTAAATGAAAGTTGCGTCATGAAAATTTTGTAATTGTTGTCTCTGAGCTGAGTTGATACTTAGATATAAAACTATTGCATGACTGACCCCGCCAACTTCAGCTGTTTTCTAAGATACTACAACGTGGAAGAAGATTTAAGTCTACTATATAACAAAGCAAGAAAACAGTTGGGCGTATTTCTTACATTTTATTCGTTAATTTTAGATTAAATTGAGCCATCTTTGTTTTCAGAACAGGTATTTGGAGAAAAGTACAAATGTATTACATATAGCAACAAATATTATTTCTAGTTGACCTAGAGTTACCTACAAACATCTCTAGCTTAGACAGCTGTATTTCTGGTTCAATTTATTTTTATTTGTAGTTTTGTTAACTTAGATACTCTAGAAACGAGCCGTGAAATGAGTAAGGACTTTATCGCAATTAATTTACTGCATGTTGAGTAAATGCACATTTTGAAAGAAAAAAAATGCACGTGGATAGGGATACGTAAATCAAAAAAGATTTGATTTGAAGTTCAATATATCGTTCCCTGTAAATACTGCTTTCTTACAAAACTGTACTATCAAAACACTAAAATTTGTTTCTTCAAGTCACATATCTTGAACGCATTATCTAATCTGATAAATAAAAATAAACTGGAAATTTAATTATATGTTTAGGTTAGTTTCAGAAATTAACTATGCTTGGGTATGATGCAGGTTGTGACCTTTACGTTTCAATATTCAACATGAATTTCATTACACAACAAATGTCTTTGTTTGCTTGTTTGTTTATACAAATTACAACTAACGTTTCAGGTTGATAATAGCTTATGGGATATTTTGTACAAAGCAATCAAAATCTTTGAAAAGTAATAAAGTAAGAATATTTGAAATCCAGTTTGACCCAAAGAATTTCAAAACACACATTGAAATATGGATAATGGACAGCTCTAAAGTTAGTATAGGAGTAACCGACTGAGAACAAAAATATAGAATCTGTAAAAGTATTCATATTCACTATATTTCGGTTAGAAAATAAAGGTTCTGCTCACGTGTGCTGGAAACACCAAACCTCTTTTACTTCGCTCGAATTGTTTGTGAGTCTTCGCCAGTGTTCAAGTAATCATAACAAAAAGAAGATACAGCGTGAATATTGTGGAATATATTTTAAGTTATTTGAAATAAGTGAATAAGTTCCAGTGTTTTTACAAAGCCTTACCATTGTGTTTGTTCCTTAAGATACAATATCATTGGGAAGTCAGCTCTGACATATAAATATTGTAAAATTACATGAGTTACTGTTAACTTGTCATAAAGTCTTTATTTTGCTAGGTATCCATATTCATGTTGTCCTAGTATGACCGAATAGGAAACCTAATGGAGAAGACTGTTTTACAAAACGAAGATAAAAACAATCGCGTTTTCATATGCTTTGCATATACACAATAGGGACATTTTACATAGACTTAGTTTATCCGGATATGTCTGTGCAGAGTTTGATGACTAACTTGTATATCTTTCAATATCAACACAGCTGTGAGGATTACAGCGTTCTTACACTTGTATAGAAATGGAAGCTTTCTGAATGCTCCTTTATTTAACTTACGTAAATATATATTTATTTATTTATGTATCGTTGGGTGAAACTTTAAAATAACTTTCAAATTGTTGAATAATCTTACCAAAAAAAAAAAGGTTAAATTCTTACAAAACTTTCATGAAGATGTTGAGTCTCTTCAAAAATTGATTATAGTTTGTTGTTTTTTTATTATTATTAGTTCATAACAATCTCATGGGAATCTCAGGAACAAATTCAAATGTTTTGCGTTTTTATAAAAATAAGACTCGAAACTTCAATAAGAAAGTTTTGAAAATTTTTAAGAATCTCAAAGAAATGGAATATATTGATCAATGTTCTAAGTATTTACTTGATAGTGATTTTGATGACATTATCCCAGGGATCGTAAAACTCATGTCATTATGGGTTACCTAGCCTGTTGACCTTCGCTTATAAAATAGTATGTTTGAAGCACAGATGCAAGACATGTTGCCTAGCAATTACACAATGCCCTTTTATATAATAAGCTGTAAAGGTTATAATATTCACTTGAAACAACTGCTAATAAGTAAGACATTGCATCTCGTTGCTTCAGATCGTGATGCGACATACTTAGTATATTTAGTAAATAAGATTATCTAAGTACATGCAAACCCTACATTTTAATACAAATAACTTGTGATTCTAATGAAAAATCGATTTGAAACTTTACGATTATATTAACTTTTAATGTGTATTTTCAGCAATAAAGAAATAGAGCATGTTTGATACCCTGTCTTCACCAATCAGAACACTTGATTGTATTAGCTGAATGTATAACAAAACTTACGTGAATTGTGTAACTGATTATGTTATACAGATGTATCGTATAAGAATGTGTGATTGTATTGCTTGGTATGTGTGATATTGCATACACTGTTGTGTTGTGTACACGTGTTATGGAGGCGTGTGTGAATTGTGTAGAAGAGTGTATTATCCAGTATGCGAATTGTAAAAACGTGTGTGCTTCGTGTAGATTATTGTGTTAGGTACATTAAGTATGAGAATCTGAATGAAGTCTGAGATAACTGTTACACACATGCATTACAAAAATGGGTGAAAATTGTGTAGATTATTGTGTTAGGTACATTAAGTGTGAGAACCTGAGTGAATTTTGTAGATGGCTGCGTTACGCACATGAATTGTGAAAACGTGTGCGAATTGTGTATATTATTGTGCTACGTATATAAATCGTGAAAACATGTGTGAATACTGCCTCCAATGTGTTTCTTAAAAGTGAGTTTGAATTAGTGGATGGTTCTGTTATATAAAAAAATCGTAAAATCATATTTGAGTTTTGTAAAAACTGTGTGATTTGCGTTATACCACATGCACCATCTCTACAACCCAATTATCCGTTGTCTCTGTGTTACCACATGTACATCTCTACAACCCAAATATCCGTAGTCTCTGTGTTACCACATGTACATCTCTACAACCCAATTATCCGTTGTCTCTGTGTTACCACATGTACATCTCTACAACCCAATTATCCGTTGTCTCTGTGTTACTACATGTACATCTCTACAACCCAAATATCCGTAGTCTCTGTGTTACCACATGCACCATCTCTACAACCCAAATATCCGTAGTCTCTGTGTTACCACATGTACATCTCTACAACCCAATTATCCGTAGTCTCTGTGTTACCACATGTACATCTCTACAACCCAATTATCCGTTGTCTCTGTGTTACCACATGTACATCTCTACAACCCAATTATCCGTTGTCTCTGTGTTACCACATGTACATCTCTACAACCCAATTATCCGTTGTCTCTGTGTTACTACATGTACATCTCTACAACCCAAGTATCCGTAGTCTGTGTGTTACCACATGTACATCTCTACAACCCAATTATCAGTTGTCTATGTGTTACCACATGTACATCTCTACAACCCAAATATCCGTAGTTTGTATGTTATCACATGTACATTTCAATTTCTTAGATATCCGTTGTCTCTGTGTTACTACATGTACATCTCTACAACCCAAGTATCCGTAGTCTGTGTGTTACCACATGTACATCTCTACAACCCAAAT